TGTTCTTTTGCTGTACAGAAGCTTTGGAGTTTAATTAGATCTCATTTGTCTATTTTGGCTTTTGTTGCCATTGCTTTTGGTATTTTAGTCATGAAGTCTTTGCCTATGCCTATGTCCTGAATGGTTTTGCCTAGGTTTTCTTCCAGGGTTTTTCTGGTGTTAGGTCTTATGTTTAAATCTTTATTCCATTTGGGGTTTATTTTAGTGTATGGTATCAGGAAGGGGTCCAGCTTCTACTTTCTGCACATAGCTAGCCAGTTTTCCCAACACCATTTATTAAACAGGGAATCCTTTCACCATTGCTTGTTTTTGCTGGGTTTGTCAAAGATCAGATGGTTGTAGATGTTTTGTGTTGCCTCCGAGGCCTCTGTTCTGTTCCATTGGTCTAGATCTCTGTTTTGGTACCAGTACCATGCTGTTTTGATTACTGTAGCCTTGTAGTATAGTTTGAAATCAGGTAACATGATGCCTCCAGCTTTGTTCTTTTTGCTTAGGATTGTCTTGGCTATGTGGGCACTCTCTTGGTTCCATATGAAGTTTAAAGTGTTTTTTTTTCCAGTTCTGTAAAAAAGGTCATTGGTACCTTGATGGGGATAACATTGAATCTATAAATTACTTTGGGTAGTATGGCTATTTTCATAATATTGATTCTTCCTAGCCATAAGCATTGAATGTTTTTCCGTCTGTTTGTGTCCTCTCTCATACATCATGTTTTTAATAGTGAATATTTTTGAAATTCTAAATCTCTAGTTTCATATATAAACCAAAGACATGGGCATTTGAATCACCTAGAGTTCTCTAAACTAATGTATGGCCTAACAGGCATTGGAAATGTGATTTTTAATAGTTGTAAAATTATTTATTTTGGTTGCTTTTTGCCTACACTGTTGAAATCAACCAAACCGATCCTTTTACACATTTTAATGTGTTATCTAAATGTATAATGTCTTCCATCACAGAAGTTTTCTAAAATATCAGAAAAGTGTTTGAATAAGATGTGATTAGAAACCTGGCCCTATTTTTCAGTCCTAGGATTATAAACATTAGGGCATTTATATTTTTCATTTTGGCTTGTTTTTACATAGCATTTAAAGTTACGGGTGTATCAACCTCATTTTAAACATTAAAACTTTACACTAATCTTTGTTATACTTTAACCTACTTTTAATAATTTAATGTTTAAATAATTGTTTCCTTCTGCTCTAACAGTCCTCTCAGATGAGATCATTTTTGACCATCAAATTTTAATCTTAAATTACAAATGTATACATTTGGTTACTTAAATTTTATTTCAAATTGCAAATGTATATGTAATTCATCAAAAAAGTATCTGCTTTTTTTTTCTAGTCTGCCTTTTATTCATTCTTTTCCTTGTTCTCCCATTTTCATCCTTACTTTCTATCCCCCTTCCTTGTTCTCAAAGAATTAAATACTTACAATAATTATTCAAATAATTTTTTAACAAAGACTAGTAATAGGTTATTTTCTACTCTGGAATTCAAAGTGATGCTGCTGTGTCTATATCAGGACATGTACATTTTACCTTTGGCATTTATTGTGCTAAAGAGCTGCCTCTAGATAATTTTGAATTTGCAGTTGAGAAAAATAACCAGTGGGCAGCTACTCAAACATTATTTTTGACAGTGGATTGTACCATTATGTGAAGTCCTATAAAGATGTCAAATTATTAAACCAATTGTATTCTAAATTTTGCAAATTGGTTGAGATAACACTTTACTTATAAACGCATTAAGTAATATATTGTCTTAACTGCATTCAGTGACACTTGCATATTCACATATGCACATGCACACAGATCCATATCAGAATAAATTATAAGCTTAATGATTTGAGCAATAATTCAGTATATAGTATTAAATTAAATTTTTTCTTCATCCAGACCAGTGTAAGAGTTCTGTTGCTCCTCATTTGGCTACTGAACTCTTGAAATGTGGCAAGTCCAATTTGAAATTTGGTATTAAAAAAAGACTGGAAGATATCTTACCAGTAATTTTTATATGCATTGCATATTGAAATAACATTTTAGATGCATGTATTTTAATTAAATATATTATTAGAGCCAATTTGACTTGATTATTCTTATTTCTCTGAATGTGGCTCCTAGAAAATTTTAAACTACATATATTTCTTGGATTTGTAGCTCACATTATACATCCATTGGACCATACCAATTGCATTAGCTCATTTTGCTTTGCTGTAAAGGAATACCAGAGGCTGGATAATTTATAAAGAAAAGAGGTTTATTTTGTCTCAGGGGTCTGCAGACTGCACAAGAAGTGTGGTGCCAGATCTGGTTCTCGTGAGCCCTCACAACATTTAGAGTAATGGTGGAAGGCTCAGGGAGAGCAGGCATCTATTATAGCGAGAGAAGAAGCCAGGAGGAGGAGCCGTAGTGCCTGGCTCTTTAAACCAGCTCTCATGTGAACAAATAGAGTGAGTGAGAACTCACTTTTTACCATGGGGAAAGCACCAAGCCTCCCCACTAGGCCCCACCTTCAACATTGGGGATCACATTTCAACATGAGATTTGGAGGGAACAAATATCCAAACTGTCGCCAATTTAGTTCATCATCATGGCCCTAACTACATTATTGCAAAAAATAAAATGTAATAAGATAATTTTATTCTCTGAATATCTTTACATTTGCAGATGATGATTTTTTTTTCTCTCAAAACGAATGTGGAATAGTAATATCACATTGGATGTTTAACCACAATTTAACTAAAACCTCTTTTGACACCCTTACAGATATAAGGGTATAGATAGCGTCTTCTATAGATGAAAATTACTATGAATAATTCAAAGTGGTTGCCTTTCACATATAGACATTATTTATCAGTGATTCATTTATATTCAAATTAATGATTTTATGTTTTCAATAGCTGTTTACAACCCTGATTTTTTGTAGGATAATGAAACTCACTTTTTTCTCACTACTGAGGTCAATTGCACCTTCAGGGCCAAGATTATCAGTAAAAGTTAGGGGAGATGTTAAAGTAAAATTGGTGATGTGAGGAGTTAAAAATTTGTTCATTTGGTTGTTCCTCTTCTGTTGACATTCATGCTATCTCTTTGAGATACCCTCTCCCCACTCTTCAGACCTCCATTCAGCTACTTTAATCAACAAGTCACGGACATTATCTTTACTCTCCACTGCTATGGTCCTTGAGTGATTTTTAATACTGTTTTGAAAAGAATCCTTCTATCAAAATACTCTTGTTTCCCTCTGTGTCTTTCACTGTTAGACCCTCTTAGCTACCATAAAATCTATCATCTTTCAGAACAGACACATTTTCAGGATCTCTAAGTTAGAGATTGCTTTCTCTCTACAATGACACCCATTTTTTCTCACCTTGCCTTCATTTTCATCAGCTGTTTTCTTATGTGACTTCTAGTCTTTTACCTCACTATTGTATATTTCTTTTATTCTGGTTATTCCTGGCTTGCCGCCTTATGTGACTTCTAGTCTTTTACCCCACTGTTGTATTTTTATTCTATTCTGGTTATTCTTACCTTGCCTTTCCATTATTCCTGCCTACTTGGGAGTGTCCAGATGGCCTTTCCAGCATTGATTTCCCATCCAATCTGTGCTATTCCTGCTTAGCCTCCCAGGCCACTGATTGACTCCATAAAAACCATCTAGCTGTTCTGAAGTCTTTTCACATTTATGTTGTGCTCCAAAAATATCCTAGAATACCTATTCCAGAATTTTGTTCCCCTCAGGTCAACTGTTCCCTCTCAATTTCTACACCCTTAGAAACCAACATGCCTCCTCTTTTACTTGGAAGAATAAATCAAACTACAAACTGGTGTTAATTTTGCCAACTCCCCACCTCCGTGCTTTATCATTGTAAGCATCTAGAAATGTTTAAATACCTAAAAATTTTATGTACTTTGATTGGTCTTGGGGTTATAAAGATGTATGTTCCTAAGACTCTCATAGTTCAGTGTAGGAAATATACAAAAATGAAAGAATTCTAGAATGAGATACATGTTTATAGCAAAGACAGAAACAGAATGTTATTGGAACATTGGGGTGGAAATATTTGAATCTTCAAGAATCTTTATGAAATGGTATGAAAAATTAAGGATATGGTAAAATGTATTACATTGTTCAGGATGAGTAGGCAGGTTTTTGTCAACTGTGTGTCTTTGATAAATTAACTCTTCACACACACACACACACACACACACACACACACTTTTTTTTTTTTTTAATAAACAAGCCATGAAAGCATTTCAAAATGGGAAAAAAATTCCATGCTCTCAATGAACCACTAATGGGGTCAACACAATTCTATTTTTCTATTTCATTTTTTCCATTCTGTGGTATGGTACTTTCTGCAAAAGATGCTTATTCTCCTGCATCTGTTAGTAACCTTGGATTCCTTTTGATTGAAGAACGTTTTTGTCTTCCAAGGCCACAATGGCATTTACTTCTTTATCAGCTATCTATCCCATATATGTCTTTGGAATAGGAAAAATATGTACTTGAAATCAGAGTAACCTTTATCAGAGGAATTCACAAGAAAGAACAAATTCATATAAGTATTTACTGCCTTAGCTGATACTTATGTATGTATATTTTGTGTATATCCTTACTTAAAATACAGCAATCAAATTTGGAGCCAAAATTAGCAGGGATAATGTCAAGGTGAAAGAGATTTTATCTTTGATATTACTTGAATATGACAGATCTATTATAGAGATCAGCTCAATTGCTCTTTTAAAAACTGAAAAGCAGTGGCTGTGAATTCTACTTTTGAAGTATCTCATTCCAATTTTGTGATGTGTATTTGCTTACATCTGGGGCCAAACAAGAAATGCCTCTCATCATTATACAGTCTGATATATTGATTATATGGCTGTATTGCATCATGATAGTGTGGTTTTATGTTCAACAGTGTTTTAAAAATATAAATGAAATTATTTAGATGTATTTGCCAGGAATAATTTGAATTCACTGTCTCATATTCAGGTTCAAAACATTATTTTTGGCTGGAGAACGATGTGATATAGAGACCCTGGAATGGTCCAAAAGTGTCTTCAGAGTACCCGTCTTAGACCATTGGTGGCAAACCGGTGAGCATTTTCCTAGCATGTACATAAGTATTAAATAAATGTCCCAAAACACTGCAGGGATTGGAGGAAACTTTTGAGCTATGACCAGAAGATCAGGCACAAACTCAGGATTCAAGGGGTTCAGATTTCAGTAAAAATAAGCAACTTTTTATTATTGTGTTATTAATAGTGTATTCATAAGTGACGTTGATGCCACCATTGTCTTGGTCCCTAGGTATAAAGCACTATCTTCTCTTTTTTGTTTCCTACATCTGGTAAGTTACTAAGCCTCATATTTTCCTTTAAAGTATATTTTGGGTTCATCCCACCTTCAGTATTCCCATTGCCTTTGAACTATTGCAGCTGCTTATCATCTGTCCTGATTTAAAGTAACCTAATCACTCATCTCTGTTCTCTCTGCTTTTTTATACACCCTGTACACTGCTCCCAGAGTCCCTTTATGAAGCCTTGTTCCTCTCATAGGACTCTCTGGCCACCTTCTATATTCTGTAAAATCTAATATATTCTACCTAGTATTCAAAGCAGAGAAACTTATTTTTCTTCAAAACAATCATCATTGCATATGTAATTTATTCATTTAATTTATTTTGTTTATTCTCTGTAGTCCTCCCACTGAGTGTTCTTGGGAAACAAATTTTCATATTAAATAAATTGACTATAAACTTTGGAATAAGCAGACAACTACAACAAAAACGCTCCTTCTTCTTTGGAGGGATGGCTATATACATGAGAGTGGGTGCATTGTCTAGAAGCCATTTATCTCCTCACCAAGTATAGAGATTTTAAACAGTTTGACCCACTGAAAGCAACTATGAGCCTTGGCTGTCCTACAACCTTCATATATTCATATTTTGGTTCAGTCCCAGTTAGTTCAATGAATTAGATCAACATTTTTATATAAATGTTTTCAGTATTCTTATCTTCTGTGCTTCTGGGGCAGAATATCCAATTTGGGTTAAAAATGGATCATTACTTCACAAAAAAATAGCTCTGATTAAAAATGATTTTCATGTAAAAGATTAACTGAATGACTAAACCTCAAATTCAGTGTTTGATATTTCTGAAATTTTTGATTCTGAGAAATTATACTTTTTATATTATGTCCTTGAATATTGTTCTTTAACAATGTGTTTTCTGGCTGGGCATGGTGATTCATGCCTATAATTCCTGCACTTTGGGAGGCCAAGGCAGGCAGATCACTAGAGGTCAGGAGTTTGAGACCAGTCTGACCAAGATGGTGAAACCCATCTCTACTTAAAATACAAAAAGCTAGCTGGGCATGGTGGCACATGCCCATAAACCCAGATACTCGGGAAGCTGAGTTGGGAGAATCACTTGAACCCAAGAGGCAGAGGTTTCAGTGAGCTGAGGTCCTGTCATTTGCACTCCAGCCTGGGCAACAGAGCAAAATTGAGTCTCCAAAAAAAAAAAAGTGTTTTCTCCTTTGAAATATGAAATATAAAATGAATGATCAGAGCAGAAGACACTTTCCTTCCATTTTCCCTAAGATGAAAATCAAAAGGTTTCTATTCCCTCCAGTTTTACTAAGGGGAAATTGAGTACCACTTCAATGCTATGTGTAGAAATACAAAAAAACAAGTAGAGAATTATTGCTTCTGCAAGAAAAATATTTACAGTGTTTAAGTATTACCATTAGCCAGGAAATTTTTAACAGTTATTTTCTTGGTCATGAACTGGTAAATGTTTTGTCACCTTTAAGATTATTTTCTTTATCTGGTCAAAATGGAGGAATTACTTCCCACATAAATGTGACCTGACACAAACACTTGCAGAGGAGTTCTGTTTCCTTCTCCAAGGTGACTGTGCCGAAACTCACTGAAGAAAGCCAGCACATTCATAAATACAACTATAAAATTCTTTTACTTTTTCTTAATATATAATAGCATGTGTGAATGTATGTAGTTAGTGTATTCAGGCTTGCAGAAAAGCTCACCGAAGCCTGTGACAAGCATATGAGGTCCCTGGTGATACTGAGTTTCATGAGAATTTGCAATTTTTCTTTAATGTATTATTCCAAGGGAATTAATAGCCACATTGTGTCACTGTGCTGTCATTGTAATCAGGCTGGAGTGACTGTTAAATGCCATAGAAAACATGGATTTTACTAATGACTGATTTTTTTCAATTTCCATTGTCCTCATCCCATTTGATTTTCCAGCATTTGGTATTCTGTCCTGCTAAACTACACAAATACATTTGGATGGGTAGATAGATAGCTACTAGCTAGATCGCTAGATCATTTTGTGCTTTATAAAATAATTTCGATACAGGTGAATCAGAGGTCAACTACTAACAGGAACGTAGTCAGGATCTCTACTCATTTGCATAAAATCAATTCATCATTTTTAAAGTTGTATGTCATGATAAGTAGTTACAAAATGATACTAAAGGGCTGGGCATGGTGGCTCATGCCTGTAATCCCAGCACTTTGGGAGGTCGAGGAGGGTGGGTCACGAGGTCAGGAGTTCAAGACCAGTTTGACCAACATGGTGAAACCCCATCTCTGCTAAAAATACAAAAATTAGCCAGGCGTGGTGGTGCATGCCTGTAATCCTAGCTACTCAGGAGGCTGAGTCAGGAGAATCACTTGAACCCTGGAGGTGGAGGTTGCAGTGAGCTGAGATTGCACCACTGCCCTCCAGCCTGGGCAACAGAGTGAGACTCAAGCTCAAAAAAATACACACACACACACACTCACACACACAAAGTTCAACATTTTCAACCATTCTTCCATAAAGTGCTATCAAATTGATGTTTGATTCTAAGGGAAAGGGCAAGTATGTTATGAGTTATTATGAACTCTTAACAAAACATCTGATATTTCTAGTGCATTCATGAGTTTCCTAGTTTTGTATTTCAAATAGGTGGTAGTGCATTTCTCCAAGAAGTGTTCTAGTAAACACATGTTAATATTTAAGAGAAGGTTAGCTTTAACCAAAGATTTCTTTCCTTTATTTCAAATTTCAAATTTTCTACAGAGTCCCCTTTTCTTGTTATTGACTTAGAAGCTGATATTTTTCACATACTTGTACATTTCTATGAACTTTTCATATAAACTCATATATATATAATTTCATATGTATATGGATAATTCATGAAAATTTGCTCTCTGATTACATTGATATAGGTATACAAATGAGCTGCTTAGAAAGTGAGATATGTAATTTGAAATGAATAAGGTATATGTTAAGTAACTATAATGGGTGGATAAAAATTTGTTCCTTTGACTTGAGTTGTAAGAAGGGACTCTGCAGTCAATTCATATATATGACCATGTTTTATTAATCAGGGTTCTCCAGAGAGACAGAATTCATAGATAGAGATACAGATTTAAAAGAGGAGACTTGTTAGATAGATTGGCTGACTTGATTACAGAGGCTAAGGAGTCCTATAACAGGCCATGTGCAAGCTGGAGACCCTGGAATTCTGGTAGTGTGGCTCAGTCCAAGTCCAAAAGCCTCAGAATCAGGGAAGCTAATGAATGGTGTCACTCTTAGTTCAAGACCAAAAGCTTGAGAACTCAGGGGGCTACTTGTATAAGTCCTGGACTCCAAAAAACGGAGAGCCTGGAGTTGTTGTCCAGGGATAGAAGAAGAGTATATTCCAACTTCAGCAGATGGATACTTCTTTCCTCTGTTCTTGTTCTTTCTGGCCCTGACTAACTGGATAGTGCCCTCCCGCAATGAGGAAAGATCTTCTCATCGTGTGCTCTCAGACTCATATATTAGTCTCTTCTGGAAACATCTTCCCAAACACAGTAAATAATAATGCTTTTCTAGGTTGCTAGGTATTTCTTAATACAGTCAAATTGACACCTAAAATTAATCATCACACATTATTATTGTTACTCTTGTGCTATTTGTATTAGAACCAACAGATTCTAGTAACATCCTTTTTTATTTCATTAATATAGGCATTCTTTGATATCTATTCAAATAAAACCTAATATTCTAAATGGAGAGCTAGTCTGTGGAAAATACAAGAACAGATTAGCACCCTCCACCCCCATATGAATATTTTATTAAATTGTTGCTGTTCAGTACCACTGAAGCATGAAGCTCTTGCTTTGGAATATAATAATGTAAATATTTAATGTTCTCATGAAGGAAATTGGTCTTGTCAAGTTTAGAGAGGAGAGTTGTCTCTATTTGTTTCTAAATCTGTATAAAAGCCAAATTGTCATTCACCCAGATGTTTTATCTTCACAGTAACTCATCCATAAGAAGATTGAAAACATCTGGATTACTGACTGAATTTTTTCATTTTCTTTTTTACCCAGAGATAGAGAAACAGGGGTGTTACAATCATAATTTAAAAAGGGAAAATAAAGAAGATAATTGTTTCATTAAAACATGGTAATTCATGTGCAAAAAAAAGTGAACATGAAAAAAACTATCCTCAGCTGTACAATCCCCTATAACAATAAAACGCTATATTGTTATAGAGGTCAGACAGGAAGCACAATTTTGGAAGAAAAGAATTGCCAGTGCAGTGCATGGTGGCCTTTGCAGGATTTTTGTTCTTGTAATTTAAGATGACTATAAAGGACCTCTTGTTTTTATGAGAAAATGAACTAGTACAAAAAAAGATTTGCTAAAGTTCAGAGACTTACTGTTAAATTCTAAACACATTAGATCTGTTTTTTCCTTTCCTTTCCCTTTCCCTTTCCCTCATTCCTCCCTCCTTCCCTCCTTCCCTCCCTCCCTCCCTCCCTCCTTCCTTTTGCTCCCTTCCCTCCCTCCCTTCCCCTTCGCTCTCTTCCTCCCTTCTTTCCTCCTTACCTCTCTCTTCCATCCTTCTTCCCTCCCTCCCTCCCTTTTATTTTGCTACAAGATATGGTATTGGTTTAGAAAAGATTGTAACAAAACATCCTTAAGCCCCAATTGTTTAATGTTGTTTAATCCTAGGTAAAAACACTTTATTGTTTCTCTTGCTATCACTCAGGTACTTCATGACAGCTACAAAGATAGAATACTCAA